TATATGTGTCGATATATGTCTTTTAGTTTTGATCAACCTTTCGACCATAGTCCTGATTTAATTATTGAAACCATGCATTTCAGATATCTTACCCACATCATTGGAGATAAGAATTCAAATTCATAAAAAAAGGTTTCACAGAAAGTGTGTTTTTGTAGTTAATTTCGAAAGTTTAATACACCAATTGAATAACATTTCTAAGATGAGCTCTTTAAATGATGACAACTGCATCTTAGTAATTTTTATATGGAGTTTTCTTTTGATAAACGAATTTTGTAATTGTGTTCAAGAATATTTTGATTCACCTAAAAACTGCTCTAGTTATAGCGAAATACACGAGAAGTGAAATTAACATTAAGGAGGTTAAAACTCTCCTCCTAACCGCTCTCCTAACTAAACTAGAAGAATCATATTTTCCAGATATTTCGATATTATAATTATATTTTAATCGGCGTTGAACAGCCGACTCAATTCTGAGTTGACGACTAAAAATGTTCAACATCGCAGCCTTGTAATTGTAAACCCAACCCAGAAAACAAGGGAACTCCTGAATCAAGAATTCTAACCTATGATTCGTCTACCACTGAGGATATTTTGCGTCAGAACTGTGGCTAGTGCGAGCCGAGAACAAAATTCATACCAACCAGCCACACGGGAATTCGAACTTGGGTCACCTAATTGGGGGCGAGCGCTCTATCCCCTAAGAAATCCAAATCTGTAGAAAAAAGAAACTGCATGTTTATTTAGAGAAAAACATTTTTGTGTCTGACATCGTTGGTTAAAGTATCGCCTACACTAATGAATTAACATATTTGGAGTCACTCCTTTGGACAATCAAGATTAGTACTTAGTTCATTAAATCTGAATATTAAAATAAATATTATGGATTATGTCCTTTTTCTTAATTCCATTTAACACCGTTTTGTTTCACATCGCACCATTTTTAATTGGATTTTTTTTTTTTTTACAGTTCACTATTTGTATATTAAAGAGATAGCTTTCAAAATTTTGTTTTTTATTCCATTATAAAAGAAATAAAAAATTCTTATTTGTTCCACCACTAAAAATGGTTAACCTCTTATTGCATAGGGTGTTCGAAAATATCATTCCTTTAGCGTTTTCTGACAATATCTTTATTAAAAAGTTTGTGCAATAGCAAGATCTTGACATATCTGAAGTAAAACGAGTTTTAATTTATGTTTTAAAATTTATCTCTAAATTCTATTCCGAATTGACTTCGAATTTAACCATGTACATAAATACATAAGATTATTTCATTTTATCACTTTGTTATAAACAATTTTCTGGTCTTCTTCTAATCTTATTGTTATCATTTGTAAACACTATTCTACCTGAAACTTATTAAATTTTGCTCTTCTTCATTTGATAACATTCTAAGTTACAATGAAAAAGTGAATAGTACAGGTCGATAGTACAATTTTTTTATTCGGTTTATTAATTACTGTTTTCAGTGACCAGATTCGGTTTATTCGCTCTCGACTATTGAAAACATCCTTCAGTTATAATTTTCTTTAACGAATGTAATCATTCAAAATTTTGACCGCAACTTTTATTTACAAATGAAGGTCGTTATTGCAAAATGACCTTATCAACAGTTTTACAAACCACAAATCTTGGATTTCGTTGAAAAGGTTTTATACCAATGAAGGAAAAAAAAAATTGTTTTAAAACACAATTACAAACTTTTTATAAATCAAACAGTTTTAGAATTCTTAAAAATGTTTATTGCTTTAAATAATTTTATTTTAAGAGTAAAAATTGTAATGGAGATATAACCGTTGTAGAACAGCAGACCCAATTCTGAGCTTACGACTACCAATGATCAACTCGTAATCGCCTTATAATTCTGAACCCAATTCGGAAAACAAGGGAACTCCTTGATCAAGTATTGGGAGAAATTTGCCTTCGTGGTGGACCTTTTGATGGAACTAACCCGTATTTGCGTTAAAGGGAAAGGAAAATTACGAAAACCTCCCTTGGTCAGTGCGACGGCAAGGGAACTCTAACCCATGATTCGACGACCACTGAGGCTATTTTACATCATCAGTGTGGATGCGTTCTGTGGTCTGAAGGATTCTTATCGACCAGCAATCGCTGGGATTCAAACCCGGGTTCACTGGCGAGCCACCACGCCTCTCCAACCCTTGTATTGTAAAGATGCGTCTGGAAACAGGAACATACGAATATAGCAGTACTATTTTATAACTTTTTAAATAATTCCATTGGAGCGATTTAATTAATTCCAATGCCGAAGGTGGTAATGGAAGAAAGTAGCTATTTAACAATATAAAAACATATCAATTTGATAAAAGTTTCGAATATCTTTCCAAAATATAAATACTTAATTTATTTTATTAATAGTTGATAATCCCTACTTCAAAGAGAAGAAAGATCCAATTCCAAAATTAACAAAACATCCAAGTGTTTGATTTCATCAGTTCTTTTGGCAATGACAAAAAGCTCTTGTCTTGTACCTAGATAACTTTCAAGCAATAGGTTTTGCTGAAGAACTGATCACTTTTTCAGATGGCCTTAGAAGCCATTTATAACAGAGAGCCTACCATCATCTCAACAATAAATGAATTTATTCGATCGGCTGCATAGCCAGTGCTTTGAAGCATCAAAGGAAACGAATGTGTGGGTGCTTTGACCAAAATATTCCGAAACCTTGGTCATTGTTACACCACCATGCATCATCACATGTGCTGATGAAAAAATAGTGGCCAAATGTAGAATGAATGGTTAACTAATATAGATTCTGCCCCATTAGAACTTGGAAGAAAAATTTACCCTATAAGAGGTACATAAAATTGGAATAATTGAATATAAGAGGTACATAAAATTGGAATAGAACAAAAGGAAACAACCACTTCATCGATAGCACTTTTTCTTTCATAAAATGGAACTCAAAAACCGAAAGGGTTTCAGCAAATTGGGAGCTAAGCTCTTAGCCCAATAGGGACAAAACTTTTTCAAAAAAATTTTTTTCATTGCAATTTCTTCTTTTTTAAGACTTATTTTTGAGAACCAAGTTGTTTATGTTTACCAGAATGTCGTCATTTGGTTACTGGTGATTGACTGAGGAATGGCGAATTTTCGCTATTTGGCTACTGGTAATTGACTATTAAATGAAGAATTTCCGTCATTTGGCTACTAGTGATTGACTGTGAAATGACGAATCTCCGTCATTTGGCTACTGGTGATTGACTGAGAAATGGCGAATTCTCGCTATTTGGCTACTGGTGATTGACTATGAAATGAAGAATTTCCGTTATTTGGCTACAAATGATTGACTGTGAAATGAAGAATTTTTGTTAGGCGGACAAATGTGCGTTAACAATTAAAATATCTATATTTTAATCCGAATTGGTGATATTTTAAGAACAGTACAATAAGTCAATAATGAGCAATATTGAACCCCTTTGAATGCAATTTTCGACAATTATAAAAAACATAAAATTAAGATAATTTAGATAAATAAAATAATCTTTTAAAAAGCACACATAGAAACCATTCATAATAGAGACGCACCTTTAGCATCCTATGATGCCATTTCTAGTCATAGGTTGTAACAAAATTCTTCATGAACGCCCTACTTCCCTTTTATGTGTGTACTGATATTTATGGGACATCCTGTGTCTACATTTTTTTAATTTTTGATGTGACATGGTGGGTAAGACAATTTGTCTTAAGTTTAAGAAACGAGATTTATAGTTCTTAACTATTCAGGGTGATTCTAAAAAGATGGGCAAAATTTTAGGAAGTGATAGTAAACATCCAAGCAAAAAATTTTATCAAATAATGCATGATCAAAAACAAAACGCAAAGGTACTGGCGCACTTGGAAAGTTGTTTGATGCAAACGTGAAAGCTCCATTCCTGTTGCGAGTTATTGCACTGCGTTACTTGTCGCCAAGCTTTCGGCCGCTGCAGGGAATGCCTGGTGTTTCAGAATGTTCGCCTATCTTTTCTTCGCCGTTGTACTGCGTGCATAGCCGCTGCCGGCCACTGTTTTGAACACTTATTGTAATCACATGCCATTAAATTTGCTTTTATAACTTAACTTCATCGTTCTTTGTGTGTTTTTGCCTCATATAAGAACATAAACTTTGACGCCCTCTAGCGGTTTTGCGTTTTGTTTTCGACCATGCATTCTTTGATAAAAATTGTTTGCTTGGGTATGTACTATCACTTCCTAAAATTTTGCCCATCTTTTTAGACTCACCCTGTATATAAAAAATTATGGTGTCATTTTTCGCATTCATGGAACAGGGCGTCCCATAAATGTTATGGCAAATTACTAGGGTGAAAACCGCACATCATAAGGATTAAGAATTGTATAGAGCAGATAGCCTAAATGACGAAAATTTTGATACGGAGAAAGATAAGAAAAAACGTGATACTTTTATGATTTTAAGCAAATATCTATATGAGATTTTCACTTATGTAGTGACAATGAAAAGATTTGCATTAAAAAGGAAATTCATTTTATTTCCACTACTTATAATCTTTTCTTTTTTTTTAAAAAAAAAAGCAACATAAGGTTATATTATTTAACATTTTCTTTTGTCAAAAAATAATACTTGAAATATTTTATGAAATAAACATTAGCCAGTCTTGTTCAACTGATACAAAGAACAGGCGCATATTTGGGCATATAAAAGGGTTAAATGATAAGAAAGAAAAAAAAAATTTAAGCTATATTCTTTTAACAACACACCGGCAAACTAGCAACAAGATATTTAAGATATGATTTCTTAAAACTTTGCTTGGAAGTAAAATTAGTAAATTATTTTAGTTCTTAGTAAAAAAAATATGCAAAGAAAAACTCACAAATAGAAATATATATTTATTTTATTTATAACTATTGCTATTTACAGAAAGTGCAATAATAAAAAAGTTTAAATATAATGTTGGATGTTACTTGAAACATAAGAGTGTAGAGCTTTTAATACTAACATGATATAAAATATGAAATAATTTGCAACAACTTTATTATTTTTTCTTAATCATAAAAAAACTCATCATCACTATCTTCTACAGTTTTTTGACTAGTTTTTTCTGGGATACGAATTTCACCTTCTGAACCTGATGAAGTATCCAGACCTAAAACTATAAAACAAAAACACAACTTTAAGTTAGAAATATTCAGAAATTTTTTTCAGATAAGGGACGTAAGCATATTTTAGACAATTTTAGATTCCCACTCCCCCCTTGACAAAAAAAAAAATCAATTCATAAATTACTTCCCAAGTTTATGTAAGAAAATTGCAGCAACCCCTCTTTCCCGATTTTTGCCTTAACTTTGATCTTTATTATAATAATCTAATTTTAAGAATTTTCACATTTAATTCAAATAAAAGATGTAACTTTGCATAAAACAAAATTTACATTTTAATTCATTTTATAAAATTGTGAGTAAAATATTCTTTAGGAATTTATGATTTCTTACTGGGGTCAAAATTCGTGACCTCAGAAATTCTTTGAAGAAATTTTTTCAGAAGTAAAATTTTTATATTTTCGGTTTCCTTTTAAAAAATAATTTAAAATATGGGGATTTTAATGTCTTAAGTGAACATTTTTCATATCCCTCCTTCCTCTTGTCAACAAAAATAACAAATCAGAAACACCTCCCCCTGTTAATTGCTTATATAATATTTGAACAGCCCCCTCAACAAAATGAAAAAAATTGCAAAATATTAACAAGCATCTTATGATTTTGTGTTCATAAATTTTAGGGAAATGATCAGAAAAAGTCATTTGGATTAATAAATAATATCCACTGCTTCAATGAGGCGCACGCACACACACGTTTGTTCCTTTGACATAGGGACATACAGACAAACCCATTTCTTGCAAACACTGATTTATTATGACTCATGATTCGAGTATAACAAGGACATTGTTAATGAATGCTTAGTTATGATTTTAAAAAAATCTAAATCTCTGTCATTACCATCATAACTAGAAATTAACATAAATAATAATTTTTTTTTTCATAGAGCTCCTTGAAAATATTATCTTTTCTTCAGTCAGAAAAAAAAGGACTGAGAGATTGAGAAAAATGTACAACCTTTAAAAACTCAAAAAGCTTTTTAAATTATAGTAAAAGATCAGCAATAAAAATTTACAAAATGGAAAGGCCTCAACTATCTTGCCATGAGTCTACCATGAGTCTACTATGAATATTACTAGAAGTGTCATAAGAGCTATCACACTGCAATACATTACAGGACAATTTTTGCCACCAAAATAGAATTTACCCTTAAATTGCTTCTTAGTCAATTGTTAAAGTTTAAAGATTAGTTTAAGGAGAAAAATCGGAAACAATGAAATTATGCTCGAACTCAAATATGCATGGAGTAGGCAGAAAAAAATATTATTTTAGAAAAAAAGAGGCATCACTGATAATACATACCATAAAACACCAGTAAGTATTGAAAATCAGAAAATTTTGAACAAAAGTTTGAACTCACCTTCTGTATAATAGAAAAATATTAAAAAATAAGGCTTTAAGAATTTCCTAGTGCATTATTATAAATTATAGTTTTTATTTTTAATAACTTTGAAAAAATTTAGATTAACAAGGACTTAGATTTAATAGTAATAGGTAAATTGTTTCCATCTCTACAACTTTGCTATAAATGAGCCCACCTATATTTCTGTATTAATTTATTAAGCATATCTTATAAATATTACCTTTTCTTGTACTTTTTGACAGTTGTTGGGATTTACCTAAAGATATTGATTTCCTGCAAAATGAAGAGAAAATAAGTGTGGAGGTTTAAAGCAATTTTTAGTCAATATGAAAATTAAAATAAAAATAATTAATCAAAATTCACCTTGGTTCACTTTTAGCTTTAGGTTCGGAAGCATCATTCTTGTGTGAATCATCAGGTTTTTCTTCCTGAACAGTAATAGTTGTTGGTCTGTAAAAAAATATAAAACGTTAATAATAAATCTAAACCAACATGACCTGTACAAAGTAATTAAACTTTTAAAACAACAAGTAGATAGTCTCAAAAATAGTATACATAAAACATTAAACGAAACAGTAAAAATATATATAAGTTGATTTGACCTGTAGAAAGTAGTTAAACTCTTAAAGCAATAAAAATATAATTTCAAAAGTAGTAACCATAAAAAATTAATGAAATGATAATAGTAATTTAAGCCAACTCAACCTGTAAAAAGTAATTAAATTCTTAAAGTAACATATATATAGTCTAGAAAATAATATGCATAAAACATTAATGAAATGGTAATAGTAATTCTAAGCTGACTTGACCTGCAAAAAGTAATTAAACTTTTAAAGCAGTAAAAATATAATCTCAAATATAGTTAACATAAATATTAATGAAATTGTACTAATAAATATAAACTGAATACACCAAAAAAAAAATTTTGAATTCTAAATATAACAAAATTATAGACTCAAAAATAATAAAAATAAAATATTACTAGTAAGTCAGTAAATTTAACTTTTTAAGTAATTAAATTCTCATAGCAATATGGTCTCAAGAATGGGAAACAAAAAATATTAATGTAAATGGTAAAAGTAAATCTAAACCAATTTTACCTGTAAAAAGTAATTAAACACTTAAAGCAACAAATAAATAGTCTCAAAAATAGTAAAAATAAATGTTTGCCCATATATAATTAAATGTATTAGCATCAAAATTTTTCTTAGCCTTTTATTTATTATCTAGTCCCAGAAAAAACTGGAATTTGAGCAAAATTTAAAATGTTAATTAACCATCATATAAATATAAAAATTTTAAACCCAATTCAAATAAAACAGAATTAAAATTTTCAAAATTGAAAAAACTAATTTAGATATTATTTTAGCATAGTTTATACTTCAGTTATTAAATTTATTAATGCTCAGTGATAAAAAAATTTACATTTTAAATGCTTTATAACGAAAATTAAAGGAAAGTTATTTAAAATTGTTAATCCTTCCTTATTCTATAAAAATTCGATGAAATAATGAAGAGATAACTGTTAATATTAACACTTATACTTGGTATTAATAATTCTATATTGTAATGAATAAAAATATACAATACAATAAACAATTTTTTTACTACATAATCTTTCTGACCAAAGTGTGTCTTCTACATTTTTTTAATGAGCAACTATGTTAGGATAAATTAAGATATAAAGTTTCTTTCATGAATGTATATTTTTAATTATTGGTTTTTGAAATAATAGAAAACGAATTCTATTATTAATACAGTAGTAAGAAGAGTCAGTATATTGCATCAATTAAATATAATAACGTAAATTAATCAAAAAGCTAAAAATACAAGCCCTAAAAGAAGTTTGATTTTAATATGTCAGAAATTCCTGTCTTAGAATAAAAATAGAATTTTGTGGGTGAAATTGTAAAGAAGAAATAAATTTATTGTTGTTGAGAATTCAAAAAATGAAGTTGCTTAATATTTCTAGTTAAAGTTAAGTGTTCATAGATTCCTTTTCCCTTGCATAAAGGCAATTTTGCTATCTAGTTAAAAAAGAAAAGAAAAAGTCATTACTATTTTCAAATTTTCACTCTTAAATTTTAAGTATTTTAATTTTTCCCATGCATGAAATAAAACCACAAGTATACTTACACACTACTACTTTTTCTTGCAGCATTTGCTAGAGCTTTTTCAACTTCATCTTCAGATTCACTTTCTGAATATGCAATGGTCTTTTGAATTTTTTTAGTAGCANGTTCAACTCAGTAGCCTTGTAATTTTGAACCCAATTCAGAAAACAAGGGAATTCCTGGATCAAGTATTGGGAGAAAATGGCCTTCGTGGAGGACTTTTTGATGGAACTAACCCGTATTTGCGTTAAAGGGAGAGGAAAATTACGAAAACCTACCTAGGTCAGTGTGGTGGCAAGTGGACTTTAACCCATGATCCTTTGACCACTGAGGCTATTTTACATCAGCAGTGTGGTCGGCGCGAGCGTTCTGTGGTCTGAAGGATTTGTATTGACCAGCCATTGTTGGGATTCAAACCCGGGTTCACTGGCGAGAGCCCGGGTTCACTCCTGAGCCACCACGGCTCTCCAACCCTTGTATTGTAAAGAAGCGTCTGGAAACAGGAACATACGAATATAGCAGTACTGTTTTATAACTTTTTATATCGGAGCGTTTTAATTGATTCTATTGCCGAAGGTGGTGATGGTAGAAAGTAGTTATTTAACAATATAAAAGCATATCTTAATAAAAATTTTCGTTAATCTGTGCTACCGTAAAGTGCTCGACTTCGGGCGCAGGTCGTCGGGCTACCGAAGCGGGGTGCCATCCCCTCCGCAGAGGATCAAAATTGTGATGGCATGTCATAGGATCATCCTCCGGGATGTTTCCCAGACCGTCGCCAATAGCCCATTGTGCAGCTCTAGTGCGACGTAAATTAACAACATCAACATTAATAAAAATTTCGAATATCCTAACAAATATAAATACTTAATTTGTTATCTAATTGATAGTTCAAAGAGAAGAAAGATCCAATTCCAAAAGGAATTGGATCTTTTTCTGAGGAAGAATCTGATAGCGTCTGATTTCATTATCTCTTTTGGCAATGAGAAAAAGCTCATGTCTTATACTTAGATAACTTTTAAGCAAAAGTTTTACTGATCACTTTTTCAGATGGCCTTAGAAGCCACATAGAACAGAGAGCATACCATCATCTCAACAATAAATGAATTTATTCAATCGGCTGCATAGCCAGTGCTTTGAAGCATCAAAGGAAACGAATGTGTGGGTGCTTAGACCAAAAAATTCCAAAACCTTGGCCATTGTTACACCACCATGCATCATCACACGTGCTGATCAAAAAAATAGCTGCCAAATGTGGAATGAGTGGTTAACTAATATAGATTCTGCCCCATTAGAACTTGGAGAAAAAAATTTACTCTATAAGAGGTACATAAATCTATTGTTAATTTTTTTATTTGGAATAGAACAAAAAGAAACAACCACTTCATCGATAGCACTTTTTCTTTCATAAAATGGGATTCCAAAACCGGAAGGGTTTCAGGTAATTGGGAGCTAAGCTCTTAGCCCAATAGGGACGTAGCTTATTCAAAAAGAAAATTTCATTGCAATTTCTTCTTTTTTAAGATTTATTTTTGAGAACCAAGTTATTTATGTTTACCAGAATGAATTAAGACATATTCACACAGCACTATTATTTATACCGTCATAGACCAAAGGACGACATTTTTTGATAATAAATTATTTACTGCAATATACAAATTGCAGATTGACTGAAAAATGGCGAATTTTCGCTATTTGGCTACTGGTGATTGACTGAGAAATGGCAAAATTTCGCTGGTGATTGACTGTGAAATGAAGAACTTCCACTATTTGGTTACTGGTGATTGACTGTGAAATGACGAATCACCGTCATTTGGCTACTGGTGATTGACTGAGAAATGGCGAAATTTCACTACTTGGCTACTGGTGATTGACTATGAAATGAAGAACTTCCGCTATTTGGTTACTGGTGATTGACTGAGAAATGGCGAATTTTCGCTATTTGGCAACTGGTAATTGACTATGAAATGAAGAATTTCCGTCATTGGGCTACAAATGATTGACTGTGAAATGAAGAATTTTTATTATGCGGACAAATGTGCGTTAACAATTAAAATATTTTGATCTAAATTGGCGATATTTTAACAAATTTAAAACTTATTGAGCAATATTGAACCCCTAAGAATGCAATTTTCGACAATAATTATAAGAAAGCATAAAATTAAGAATAATCTCTTGAAAAGCACACATAGAAACCATTCATAATAGGAACGCACCTTTAGCAGCGTATGATGCCATTTCTAGTCATAGGTTGTAACGTGATTCTTCATGAACGCCCTACTTCCCTTTTATGTCTGTACTAATATTTATAGGACATCTTGTGTCTACATTTTTTGAATTTTTGATGTGACATGGTGGGTAAGACAATTTGTCTTAAGTTTAAGGAATGAGATTTATAGTTCCTAACTATACATAAAAAATGATGGTGTCATTTTTCACATTCATGGAACAGGGCGTTCCATAAATGTTATGGCAAATTTCTAGGGGGAAAACGGCACATCATAAGGATTAAGAATTGCATAGAACAGAGAGCCTAAATGAACGAAAATGTTGATATGGAGAAAGATAAGACAAAACGTCATACTTTAATGTTTTTCAGCAAATATCTATATAAGATTTTCCCTTATGTAGTGACAGTGAAAAGATTTGCATTAAAAAGGAAATTAATTTAATTTCTACTACTTATAATCTTTTTTTCAAAAAAAGCTACATAAGGTTGTATTATTTAGCATTTTCTTTTGTCAAAAAATAACAATTGAAATATTTTATGAAATAAACATTAGTCAGTCTTGTTCAACTGACACAAAGAACAGGTGCATATTTGGGCATATCAAAGGGTTAAATAAGAATGAAAAAAAAATAAAGCTATATTCTTTTAACAACATACCGGTAAACTGATAACAAGACATTTAAGATATGATTTCTTAAAACTTTGCTTAGAAGTAAAATTAGTAAATTATTTTAGTTCTTAGTAAAAAAAATATGTAAAGAAAAACTCACAAATAGAAATATATATTTATTTTATTTCTGACTATTGCTATATACAGAAAGTGCAATAATAAAAAAGTTTAAATATAATGTTGGATGTTACTTGAAACATAAGAGTGTAGAGCTTTTAATACTAACATGATATAAAATATGAAATAATTTGCAACAACTTTATTATTTTTTCTTAATCATAAAAAAACTCATCATCACTATCTTCTACAGTTTTTTGACTAGTTTTTTCTGGGATACGAATTTCACCTTCTGAACCTGATGAAGTATCCAGACCTAAAACTTTAAAACAAAAACATAACTTTAAGTTAGGAATATTCAGAATTTTTTCAGATAAAGGGCTGTTCTATAACATAAGCATAATATAGACAATTTTAGATTCCCACTCCCCTCCTGACAAAAAAAAATATATATATATATATATATAAATTCATAAATTACCTTCCATGCATATGTGAGAAAATTGCAACAGCCCCGCTCTCCCGATTTTTACCTTTACTTTGACCTTTAATGTAGTAATCTAATTCTAAGAATTTTCATATTTAACTCAAATAAAAGATGTAACTTCACATAAAACAAATTTAACATTTTAAGTCATTTTATAAAATTGTGAGTAAATTATTCTTTAGGAATTTATGATTTTCTACTGGGGTCAAAACTCGTGACCACCGAAATTCTTTGAAGAAATTTTTTCAGAAGTAACATTTTTAATTTTTTATACTTTCGGTTTCCTTTTTAAAAAAAATAAAAATATAGGGATTTTAATGTCTTAAAAGAACATTGCTCATACCCTTTCTTCCTCTTGTCAGCAAAAATAAGCAAATCAGAAACACCTCCCCCTGTTAGTTGCTTGCATAATATTTGAACAGTCCCTTCAACAAAATGAAAAAAAATGCAAAATATTAACAAGTATCTAATGATTTTGTGTTCATAAATTTTAGGGAACTGATCAGAAAAAGTCATTTGGATCAAGAAATAATATCCACTGCTTCAATGAGGCACGCACACACACACAGATACACTAAACTTAAAGATCAGACACCTTCTTAACTTTGTACTAGCAGAATTTCTTCTCTTAAATAATTTTATACACTAAAATTGCAAGCATATTTGATAAAATCATAATCAAAACAGTCAAAAATGGTTTAATTTATTAAAAAATATCCATTTTTTATTCATAAATGGTTATATTATTTGATTATTTGCTTAGTTTCATTTTATTTCATTAAAAATATACAGGTAAACTCCCTTTTTGAGTTGTTTGACATTTGAGTCGTTTCATATGTTATACCGCTTCCTACGTGTCATTTTCTGCACGATCCGTGAAATTTGCCTATACCGATAATGTTAAATTATCCCGGTTTAATTGCTAAAGTTTGAGGAGAAAAATCGGAAACACTGAAATTATGTTCGAAATCAATATGCATGGAGTAGGCAGAAAAAAAATAATGTTTTGGAAGAAAAGAGGCATCACTGATAATATATACCATAAAACACCAGTAAGTATTGAAAAACAGAAAATTTTGAACAAAAGTTTGAACTCACCTTCTGTATAACCGAAAAATATTAAAAAATAAGGCTTTAAGAATTTCCTAGAGCATTATAATAAATTATAGTTTTTAGTCTCAATAACTTTGAAAAATCTACATTAACAAGGACTTAGATTTAAAAGTAATAAGCAAATTGCTTCCATCACTACAACTTTGCTATAAATGAGCCCACCTATATTTCTGTATTAATTTATTAAGCATATCTTATATATACTATTACCTTTTCTTGTACTTTTTGACAGTTGTTGGGATTTACCTAAAGATATTGATTTCCTGCAAAATGAAGAGAAAATAAGTGTGGAGGTTTAAAGCAATTTTTAGTCAATATGAAAATTTAAATAAAAATAATTAATCAAAATTCACCTTGGTTCACTTTTAGCTTTAGGTTCGGAAGCATCATTCTTGTGTGAATCATCAGGTTTTTCTTCCTGAACAGTAATAGTTGTTGGTCTGTAAAAAAATATAAAACGTTAATAATAAATCTAAACCAACATGACCTGTACAAAGTAATTAAACTTTTAAAACAACAAGTAGATAGTCTCAAAAATAGTATACATAAAACATTAAACGAAACAGTAAAAATATATATAAGTTGATTTGACCTGTAGAAAGTAGTTAAACTCTTAAAGCAATAAAAATATAATTTCAAAAGTAGTAACCATAAAAAATTTATGAAATGATAATAGTAATTTAAGCCAACTCAACCTGTAAAAAGTAATTAAAGTCTTAAAGTAACATATATATAGTCTAGAAAATAATATGCATAAAACATTAATGAAATGGTAATAGTAATTCTAAGCTGACTTGACCTGCAAAAAGTAATTAAACTTTTAAAGCAGTAAAAATATAATCTCAAATATAGTTAACATAAATATTAATGAAATTGTACTAATAAATATAAACTGAATACACCAAAAAAAAAATTTTGAATTCTAAATATAACAAAATTATAGACTCAAAAATAATAAAAATAAAATATTACTAGTAAGTCAGTAAATTTAACTTTTTAAGTAATTAAATTCTCATAGCAATATGGTCTCAAGAATGGGAAACAAAAAATATTAATGTAAATGGTAAAAGTAAATCTAAACCAATTTTACCTGTAAAAAGTAATTAAACACTTAAAGCAACAAATAAATAGTCTCAAAAATAGTAAAAATAAATGTTTGCCCATATATAATTAAATGTATTAGCATCAAAATTTTTCTTAGCCTTTTATTTATTATCTAGTCCCAGAAAAAACTGGAATTTGAGCAAAATTTAAAATGTTAATTAACCATCATATAAATATAAAAATTTTAAACCCAATTCAAATAAAACAGAATTAAAATTTTCAAAATTGAAAAAACTAATTTAGATATTATTTTAGCATAGTTTATACTTCAGTTATTAAATTTATTAATGCTCAGTGATAAAAAAATTTACATTTTAAATGCTTTATAACGAAAATTAAAGGAAAGTTATTTAAAATTGTTAATCCTTCCTTATTCTATAAAAATTCGATGAAATAATGAAGAGATAACTGTTAATATTAACACTTATACTTGGTATTAATAATTCTATATTGTAATGAATAAAAATATACAATACAATAAACAATTTTTTTACTACATAATCTTTCTGACCAAAGTGTGTCTTCTACATTTTTTTAATGAGCAACTATGTTAGGATAAATTAAGATATAAAGTTTCTTTCATGAATGTATATTTTTAATTATTGGTTTTTGAAATAATAGAAAACGAATTCTATTATTAATACAGTAGTAAGAAGAGTCAGTATATTGCATCAATTAAATATAATAACGTAAATTAATCAAAAAGCTAAAAATACAAGCCCTAAAAGAAGTTTGATTTTAATATGTCAGAAATTCCTGTCTTAGAATAAAAATAGAATTTTGTGGGTGAAATTGTAAAGAAGAAATAAATTTATTGTTGTTGAGAATTCAAAAAATGAAGTTGCTTAATATTTCTAGTTAAAGTTAAGTGTTCATAGATTCCTTTTCCCTTGCATAAAGGCAATTTTGCTATCTAGTTAAAAAAGAAAAGAAAAAGTCATTACTATTTTCAAATTTTCACTCTTAAATTTTAAGTATTTTAATTTTTCCCATGCATGAAATAAAACCACAAGTATACTTACACACTACTACTTTTTCTTGCAGCATTTGCTAGAGCTTTTTCAACTTCATCTTCAGATTCACTTTCTGAATATGCAATGGTCTTTTGAATTTTTTTAGTAGCAGACACATTACCTAACAAAGCTTGGTATGCAGCAGATTCTGATAAAGAAATAAAATTCCATTTTAAGTTACATTTTTTTATTTACATAATCTCAATTTAGCAAGTATATAGCTGAATTAATATCAAGGGTATAAATTCCTCTGAAAAAAATTTGTAATAAAGCTACATTATATCTAAAATATTATTATTTTTTTAAGTAAACTATCTGCTCCCTGACTAACACGGTTCTTCTTTATAGTAACAACATATATACAGAACTATTTTTTAACTGGAAAAAATAACTAGTGGTGGATAACAAACTAAAATTGAAAATGAAATCATTTTAATACCAGTTTTTCGCCTTTCTACAGAATTTGCAACCCTGTAATACAAATATACTCAAATAATTTATTTAGCAAAATCGATTAACTCTACTTTCAAATGTGTCACATAATGGGATCAATCTACTAACCTATCTCAGCTGATGGCAATTGTGTTTTTTTTATTTATTTTTGTTTTTTAAAAAAAAAGGTTGTTTGGTTAGAAAAGTTTAAAAAATGTTTTGATTAACTCTGAAAAACTAAAAAGGTTATTTTAAAAATTATTTTAAAAATAAAAATTCCTTCCTCGAAATTCTGGAATTATTATTTTAATTATTTTTGTAATGTCTTACATTTCAAAAAGTTCTTTTTTTATTTGCATAAATAAATAAAGCATAATAAAAAATAATAAATAAGATAAATTTTAAAAAAATTACATTTTCTGTTTTTCTTTTTTTTTTAAATTTAACTTGACATGAAATACATGCATCATGGTCATTAATAATTTTAATTAAGTTGTATGAACATTAAAATGATGCAAACAACACTATTAAGTGTACATTAAGGAGTTTTAAGATGGCCGTGAAAAACATTTCACATGAATGAACAAAAAATAAGCTTCATGTTTTTTTGTGTGGTCCAAAACTATAAAAATAAAGAACGTTTTAAAGTATTATACAAAAAAAAAAAAAAAAAAAAAAAAAAAAAAAAAAAAAAAAAAAAAAAAAAAANACTTTAACATATTTTTATTTGTAATTTATATTTTCACTTCTTGACTACTTAACACAGCTTGGTTTACACCATCTCAATTAATAAAAACTTTAATTATAGTATAATTTTATATCACAAGTGAACAATTTAAATAACCATTGCAGTGGTGTTATATGATGCTATGCATCCATTTAATTTCTTTATATAATTTAGTTTTTTATCCAATACATTTCCTCCCCACAATCTAGCATTTCCAGTAAAAAAAGTTTGGGCAGCTTGTGAATTATTGAGTTGATTCATATCACAAGTAAACAATTTACATAACCATTACAATGGTGTTATTATATAATGTTATTCATACATTTAATTTCTTTACATTATAAAGTATTTTATCCAATATGTTTCATCCCCACAATCTAGGATTTACAGCAAAAAAATCTTAGACAATTTGTGAATTATTCTATTGATTTATATCACAAGAGTAAATAATTTCAATAACCATTACAATGGTGTTATTATATAATGTTATTCATACATTTAATTTCTTTACTTTATAAAGTATTTTATCCAGTATGTTCAGTCCCCACAATCTTATCTACGATTTTATGTAAAGAAATCTTTGAACATTTTAAAATTTTTTAGAATGATTGTACGTGTAATTGTAGCAATTATAGCTTGAAACAAATGATTTCCAAAACTTATACTTAATTTGATGTTGGCTATACTAGTTAATAAAAAGAAATTGTGTAATTGTGTTGTTTATCTAATAGTCTTTTTCCCTGAAGCTCTTGACTAGAGATTTTCTTCATCTTAAGGGGCATAACTTAATTTGATTTTCCTCAAATGTTACGGATACAAATTTTAATAATAAATAAGCTCAATGCTTTAAATTTTTTAGTCCAAAGAAATTATTTCTTAGTGTTAGAGATGATTTAGGCAATGAATACAGTTTGGAAAATACATCCTTAGAATGATATGATTTGGACAATATATTTATCTTTGGAATGAAGCCAGTGAATTGAACTTAAACAGTATTGGTACTATTGATTTCTAAATTAAAATTAAGAAAGTTTTAAAAATTAGTAGGAGCGAACTTTAAAACTTGTTTAATATTATTAAAAATAATATTAAAAGAAAGAGTATATAGAAAATGAAAGTGGTAACCCTTTGCTATATTGCACACTTGAGACATATACCTTTTCAACAGCACACAGTGCTATAACTAAAAAATTTAGTGATAAAGCAAAAGTAAGACACAAAATGGTAAGTTTTATATATTCTGGAAAATTTACTCCTGCATAACAATCACTAAATTTAAATGCAAGATTCCATAGACATCCTAACCGGCTTCATGACAACAAAATATTTGCCTGTCAAAAGAATAACTTTAAAATCATTAGGACATAAAAAAAATTAACATTAAAAAGTAATTGTTCTTAAGCATAGCTAAAGTAGTAACTTCCAACTGAAAAAGCTATTACTTAAATATTTTAATAATAGACTTCCTAACATACTAAATTGTTAAATAGAATTGGAAAAAAAGAACTCACACTTTCATAAATCATAATAAGAATTGCAATATAATATCTAAAAAAAACTATTTAGTGACACAATTTGAATGAAACTTATCTGTAAACAATTATCTTATGACAATTATCAACAAATACAATTTATAATTAGTTCAAAAGCTTAAGATACCTTTTAAACGTTCTTTTTCATCAAAACTATCTGAATCTGACGGGGCTGATGCAGTATCCGAATAAGGAGAAGGTGATGGAGCCCCTGAATGAAAATAAAACATATTTTACATTTTTATTGAAAAATGTCTATTAAAATATATTAATAAAATGCCTATTGTTTTTCTAAGATTATTTTCATAAAAGTATTAGTGTTTTAGCTGCATTATTTTTTTAAAAAAAAGAAAGAAAAACATTTTATGGTCATTTGTATGAACAGCAATGTTTTTTGTAAAACTTTTTTTTTAAACAGAAGTCATAAAGTAAGACAAGTTTTTGAAGGTAAATGTACCTATAGTTTATAGCTGTTGATATGATTTCTAAAGCTGGTTTCCCTAAGGTTGTTAGTTAAAAATTAGTGTGATGATTCAAACCTTCACCTACTACAATAGTTCAGGGTTTCATTCCCCGTGGCATCTGCACAGATTTAATTTTAGGTTAATACTAAAACATAATACATATAAATAAAGATTTTCTTTGTATTAATAAAGTTAGTAGATATACATTAAAAATATAAGAAAAGGGTTTTCACTCAATTTCAGAAGAAAAAAATCCCTGACTTTTCCAGGTATATCAGGTAAAGTTCAATGAAAATCAATACCATATTTTATCTATATGGTGCAATTTTTCATCAGAAAACTTAGATTTTTTTTTATTTATAATGCCAAATATTACATTTTGTGAGCAAAAACATATAATAGAATGAGAATGGAAACATGGAAAAGTTTCAATAAAAAGAGAATTTTTATAAAATAATTGTAGTAGATGTTAAAATTATTTAATTCGAATCTCAAATAACTGATCACTGTTACTGACAATTCTAAGACTGATTATTTTCCAGGTATGATAAAGGAATTTTCCAGGTTTTTTGTAAAAAAAATGCAATTTTCCCTGACTATTTCTTGCTTTTCAGAGTTAAAATGAAATTCCCTAAAAATTCCAAGTTTTCCCTGTTCTCACTGGGGAACCCTTAAGAAGCTCTAATTAATATGAATTCAAACACAGAAAGAAATGATGTGTCAATAACAATAAGGATCTGATAAACCTAGTAGAATATGCTCTTCTCTAAAATTACAATAATAGTGGTAAAATTTAATTTAGCTACAATATACATGCACATATGTTCTTATTTTGAAATGTTATATAACAATAAATTCCATGGATTAAGAACTAACCTGCGATGATAGGTGATTCACTTCCTTTATCACTTAAGATATCTTGTTTTAAAACGTCACTTTTGATTAGATTATTCTTTAAAGTTGTTATTTCTCCTTCAGATTCAATTTGAGAAACATTTAGAGGCACGGAAAGAGCACTTAAATCACTAACCACAATACTTGTAACTAAATCAGAGTCTTTGTTTTTTTCAGAAAGTGCAAAATCTTCCCATACTACACTAGAATGCAAATTTTTATCGGTTTCTTTAGCATCAGAGCTTAAAATATTAACTGTTTCATTCAACATCACATCAGGAACAATTTCTTTGGAATCAGTTGTAGTGGGGGTGCCTGTTTTAAGATGTTTATTTATTCCCTGATCAACATTTTCTTTGTAATCAGTTGCTACAGGAATATCTGTTATAAGTTGTTGATTAATTTTCTCATAAACAACATTTTCTTTATGTTCAATTACAGTGGGAATATTTGCATCAGCAGTGTTGATTTTATTTTCAAGAGACCTAGCATTTAGTGGTACAGGTAGTGAGATATCAGTAGAAATAGTTTGGTATTTATCGTGTAAAATTTCTTTTTGAACTGGAGGTTCTTCAGGTATTTTAGGAAGACTGTGAATAACCACTGATGGTTTTTCTTTATTTATCTCCTTATTTGAGTTCAAATTTCTTTCATTCTTATGCATAAAATCATTAAGTGGTATAGTCATATCAGAAACAACATCACGTTCAACACCTTCAATAGGCAGACTTTGAAAAGATTGCACAACTCTATTCAAAGATTCATTTGGAGATAATGATTCATCGAGTCTTAAATTAGATGACACAGTCAAGGGGAATTGACAATTTTCACAAAACATAAGATCAGTTTGAGTAAAAGCATGTTCAACAACTCTTTGCTTTGATGATACAGATTGTTTTGTATTTAAAAAAATTTCATTTGGTGTATAATCTGTTTTTAAGGTATTTGATAGTGTGTAATCATTGAAAGATCTGTCATAAGTATTACTTGAGTAAGGCCACATTGGAGTTTTTGAACTCATAGATAACTGAAAGTTAAAAAAAAAATATTTTAAAAATAAATATAATAATTTTAAAATTAACTTTCAAGATTAAAATATAAAACAAATGAATTTTATCTCATACTCTTCATAACCAAGGTATATATATTAGCATTTACAAACATTTAGTTATTTTCCAATAAATCTGTTTTAAAAATTCTTATTGAATTGTGTAATAAAATATGCACAGAAGCATAAACTCTCAAATTAAGACACATATGAGGTAAGATAGATGCTGGATTTATATGCCATATTTGTATTAAAATTCAACAATCAAAAACTTCATAAAAACCATTTTTGATGTAAATAAGTTTATTCTTATCTCGCCCCGCCCTATTTTAGGGCATACGAGAGTTGATAAATACACAAATGATACCTTAAAAATACATAAATCNTTTGTATTATTGCGATACCAGACACTGGCGGCGTAGAGTATAATTCTTTCGGTCGCCATGAGGTAGATGATTTTTAAGATCGATGGTTTGAGGCCCCAAGTGGCCCTGGCCACCCGTCTGATGAGGTTGTTAAAATTGTTCACTCTCTCTTTGATCTGATTTAAATGGGGTATCCAGGTCAGGCCCGGGTCGAGCACAACACCGAGATATTATTTTTGAAGTAAATAAAAACTGAAAAATTTTTGAAGTAAATAAAAACTGAAACCAAAGAACAATACAGTAACCTAAGAAATAACACAAATTGATAAAACATTCTGAATATTATGTGGAGTAAGACTGCAACAAATTAATAATATAGAAATAACTGAAATATTAGTTTAGAAATAATACTCAACTAGATCAACAAATATATAATTATTTGAAAATAAGATAAAAGAAATGCAATAAAATGAATAAACAATTTCTTTGTTAATAAAAATAAACATGCTTGACCCTAAAAAATCATTACAATATTGTGTGCAAAGCATTGAAAACTGATTGATTGAATTGAATGACTAAATTCTCCATTTCCACCATTTACAGTTCTCTGCAGTAATTGAAGATTCAATCAATTAGAATTAAGAAGAAATCTAAAAAATTAAGCTACAAGATTCTAAGAAAAAGCATTGCGTTGTTTCTTCATTAAAGACACTTTATTATTTCTTTTTTTTAATATTGCTTTTCTTATTAAAAACATTTTTTAAAAGAAAGTATATCTTAATTATCCACCATTATAAATAAGTGACTTATTGATTTTAGAAGTATTTGGGAGCTTAAAAATTTAGTACATCCAAGCAATTATGAAATGAGCTCCCAATATAACTGAAAGCAACCTCATGGAAAGCTCATCTTGTGATTGCCAGAGAGAAAAAATTTTAATAGGCTGATTTAAATCTGAAATATTCAAATCCAAATAAATGTTTCATAATCTTTTTCTGCCTGAATAAATGATTATTTGTAAAGAATACAAAGGAAGAAAGAAGAAAACTTCCTTAGATTGCTTTACAAAATGAAATCTTCCTGCCATGGGCATCATGAATAGATATCAAGAAAAGCGACTGCAATGAAAAAATGAATTATGGTTTCAATGCTCTAATAACTTTCTAACAATATACACTTTCAGCCAGATATGATTTAATGAATAATAATTAATTAATTACACAATCACATAATCTAGTTAATATAGAAAGAATCATGAATGTTTACTGCAGCTTTGAGGTCAAAGCCAGGGGTAGAGGATTTGTGTCAGACATATTTGCCTGGTGATTATTAAAAGCTGCATATTTTCTAATAAATCCATATTAAAATCCAAATTCCTCTCAATATTGAAATGTTAATTAACGCTTTAAAAAACAATAAGTAAATAACACTAAAGCAATTTAATGCACATAGCTATTGGTTAGGTTATCATCTATAAGAAATAGGTTTATGAAGTATTAGTCAAACGTCCTTTCTTACTCTTTTATTGCGAGCATGCGATTTCCAGAAATGTGCATGTCTGACTTTTTTGAGTGACATAGTTGTTTTATATGAAAAGCACAATCCCAGAGTCAACCTTTGAACTTCCCTAACATTTTTATCACATCATTGTTTCTTTTCAAAACGTCTTGTATAATGCACCAAAATATAAAAAGCTAGTAGGTTTTAAATACATTGCAGAATTAGAATTGAAAGAAAATTTCTTAACTATAACAAATCATTGGATAAAAATAATAAAAATGCATTAATAAAACAATGCTTACTCTCAATGATTCTAGTTTTCGTAGATTGGCTGTTATACTTTCAGTATGCTGATCTAGTTGCTCCATTTGGCGCATTAATCCAAAGTAATCTTCTTCATTTTCCTTTTCTCTTTTATTAAGTGTTTCAAGATACTTTTGTGCAGGCTCACTATGCAAAATTTGAAAATAACAATCAAGAAAAAATTTTACACAATAATGATAAAAATTACTATAAATAGAATGCAATTTACTATATTTATGTTTTAATAGCTATGCACAAAAAATCTCAGCAAATAGATAAAGATAAATAACTTTTCAGAAAACCTAACAAATAGCTAAAAATATGCATTTAGTTTCTGTATTTTTTTTAGCAACAGATTTGCCAAAGGTGTAAATCATTTATTTTATTTCATGAAGCGAAAAATATTAAATAATTTACCAACTTAAAATTAAGAATCCTCCCCCCCCCCCACACACACAGTGCGAAAACACTTGAATATTCATTTTGCAAAACATTTTTATGAATTATAAACATTTTTATGAATAATAAATTAAATGAAAGGAATTCTGAAAAACTGCTTTATTGATTAAAATTCAATTTTTATTTTATTTCAATATTTATTTAAATACTATTCATAGTTTATTTTAGTATTAACAAAATTCATTTTAAACAATGATTATCATTAACTTACTTACTTCATTAAAAATACTTAATTGTACTTCAAACCAGAGTCATTTTTTATGAATGTACAGCCTCATAATACTGAAACCAAACAGCATATTATGAGGCAGAATGCACATGGATAATAGCAAACACTAAAGATATGTAATTTAATGTAAGTGAGGGGATATTTTCTTCAAAAAATTTATTCACATTTCTTTTTAAGAAAAATAATTAAGTGATTCTTAAGGACTGAAAACTCAAAATAAGCTTTCACCTTGATTTTTTTTGTATTTTTATAAAATTTCTTCACTTTATTAGAAAAACAAAATCATCTGAACTTTCTCGATATAAGTTTAACAACATTAAAAAAAACTTGGCAAGCTGATTTTATAAAAGTTCTTGAGAAATTATAAAATGCCAATTTTGAAAAAATTCAACTCTATAAATATTTACTTGAGATATTGAAAATGGCTTTTAGCTGCTATCTCAGCATTCAGATACTGAAGTTCTCTGTTAAAAAAAAAATTAAAAAATAAAATTAAAATATTTTGATATATATCAATAGCTTAATCAATACAAAATTAATATTGAATAAATGAAACATGAAATATCAGACCCAAACAAACAGTACTATTAAACAGCAATTTTATATAAATATATAAAGCAGAAAAATTACATGAAAAATTTAAACAAAAGAGCTTGTTACAAAACTAATGATTTATTAAAATTAAACAATTAAGATAAAGAATGTGATCCTACATAACATTTAAAATAATTCTGTAACAGAGATTTGTTTTTGTTAGAGGGAAAAAAAGAAGGAAAAATGCTTAGAAAATCTAAATTTCTTCAAGTAAACAAAAACATTTTTTTGAATAATTTTTTCTTCTGAGAGTTAACAAGTTATTTTTCCTTGAGTTTTCAAAGTTCCCTCTGAAGTGCAGAAACATAGTGTAAACTTGAAAAGACTTCTATAATAGTTGAAGACAGAAAACTGTTTTCCGGAATCCAAAATCAAAGATTTAAAGGTTAAGCAGATATTGAATGGCGGAGGTTGTAAAATAGTTAAGTACTTGAAAAAAAAACATTTTAGATTTCAAGTGTATCAAGAGAAACTCTTAAGTATTGGCTGATAATGTTCTCATGTCACATGACCAATTTTGGACGGAAAGAAAACATGGTTTATTACTATGACTTAATGTTTTTCTTTGGATTTCCATTATTCCATGGCTATAGGCAGTTCATTTTGTGGTCAAGGAAATGCAATTGAGAATTAAATTAAACTCTTTGGCAATTTTAGTTCACTCTTAATTATTAACCTTAACTCTCTGAGTTTCAATCTTAGCTTTCTTTCAAATTTCATGTAGTCATGTAGTCAAATTTCATGTAGTCTGCAGGCTTTCATGTAGTCAAAAAAAAATAATAATAATAGTTTTATTTATGCTATTTAATGGGAAAGTAGTGGAAAGCAGGAAAATTCAGAATTGAAAGAACAAAAAGAAGAAGAAAAAGTAAAAGAGAAAGATTTTTGTTTTAAACTAGGTTTTTTCAGTTTAAAACGGGTTTTCTTTACTTTTCTTGAAAACAAGAAGTAAAATAATATTAATAATCAAAAAAAAAAAATTAATTATAGCATATAAGTTAAAAAAGAATAATTGAAAAATTTGATTTTGCTTATTCTTTACTTTAAAGCTCCACTTAACATGCAAATAAAAATTTAATGCCAAATTGCTACATTAGTAATGCATGAAACAGAGTAAGTTCCCCTTTGCTTGTCAGTAATGCATGAAAAATGTCATAATTCAACAATATTTACTGTCATAGTTTAACAGTTTTCAGTGCATAACATTAATATTAATTTACTGTATAAAATGAACATTTTTTTTTAAACTTTATTTAAATCAAAATAAATTTTGAGGACAACATGAAAAATTTAAGATAATATATTTTGCAATTTAAAAATTTCTTGAAAATAATAGAATAGTGAAAAGAGTTAAAAAAGTAAAATTATATATTATATATATANTATATAATAATAAACACATTATAATAATCAACATATTGCCGGGAAAGGCAAAAACATAAACATTGTATTTTGAAAACACATAATCACAGAATCATACAGAATCATAATAAAAACATGATGCATAAATACAGTAAAAATTTGTTTGCATTGATAACAGAAAAAAATATTTAAAAATCTTTCAACTCAATATTATTTCTTCAACATTCTTTGAACTCAACATTATTTAACTAATTTTGAAAAACTATCAAAACTAGAAGTTGATGATGGTATGTTTTATTTTAAGCAATTGTTAAGATTTAACTTTAAATTTGATCACATCAATTCATTTATTTTATATAAATATTTACAGAAATGAAATGAAACATAACATTTAAAAACTATGTATTAATGTTAATAATATTTATTGGCACTTATTCAAATTAGTTATTGAACTCAGAATTTAAAATATTTTTAAAGAAAAATGTGCTTTATTTTTTTTTCATTTGGTTACATTTAAACTAAAAGTTATAAAAATAATAGAATAATAAATAAAAAATAGAAATAATAGAAAAAAAATAATAGAAATTTAAATAATTGAAAAAATTATTTTCTTAAAAAAAAAATTTTTTTTAATGCATGCCTGTTTTTTTTTTTTCCTTGAAAAAAATAGAAAAAACATTTGGTTTAAATTGATCAATTTTAGGAGAATTTAAATGTAACTTGGCCAGAGGTTAAATGCTTGGAGTGCTATATTGTTGTTTTATAAAAATCACATTAAGACACCAGGTTCTGTAAACAGCAAATAAAAGTAATTACTATCAATTAATGACGTGATTTTCTTAAAAACTTAGTATTTATTTCATGGTACTAAAAGATCAGAAACTAAAACCTGGTTAGAAAATTTATGCACAGGCAGTTTAAGATAATTCTAGTAAACAGAACAAATTTCCATACACAGAAGAAAACTGAATTAGAGAAAAAAAATTATTTGAAATATTAAAAATTACTAATTGCAAAAAAATACCGCTTTTGAAATTCTTCAAATAAGTCTTTTGTTTTCTTATAAAAATCTGACGCCATATTCAAAGCCTGGAAGGAAATATAACAAATATTAGAAAACAAGAACAGAAAACTCAGACTTCAAAAACTAGATAATTATTTAAATGGCATAACAATATTTTACAGCAAAGTTATTTACAATGATTTGATCAATGTTCATACAGTCAGTGAAAGTACAGTCATTTGTCAGCGAAATTTTCCAAATTTCACAAACAAATTACTTAACTAACAAATTATTTAAAAAAATTGAAATCACTTGCAGTTACAGATGACAAAGTTTAAAATTAATAGAAGTTTTTATTCTCCAATATAAGCTCTTAGATTAATGTTACATGCGTCATTTCCTTCTATTTTAGCACATTGCTGATGGATTTTCCATTTTAATTTCAACAAATGAAAGTGCCAACTATCAAAAATAAAGTTTTATTTCATGAGAGATCCTTTTTATTGATGGTAAATTTTATTCATGAATTCGGTTTTCATGACGCTAACACGAATGGCATTTCTGCACCAAGAAAATGACACTGATTAAAATTAAAATCGTTTGCGAAAAATCATGTACCTTGGATAACATTTAGAAGTGAATGGAGGTAACCCCTAAAAAGACAAACTTCCATTAACGGCCATTTTACTGTTGAACAGAGAGTATAAAAAAGATTAGTATGAAAACATAACAAATATCTAGACCTTTTTTGCGCAAATCTTAGCGTAAAAAAACGCAAGAAATAAGGAGCACCCAATAGTAAATTTTTATTAACGTTACATCATGCCAAAAAATCTGCATGAACTGAGTACATATAGAAAATCAAAACAAATGAATGAATAAAATTAGCGAATGCATATTGTATTTAACAATAAAATTCTTGAACAAACAAATTTCAGATCAAAAAGTAAAATTAATTTCAAACTCATCAAAGGTTTGAAAAAAAGAAAATTTAATGATCCATTTTAAAATTAATAAATTTTAAGTTGAATTCCAACTCACAGCTAAAATCGAAATATGGTACAAAACAAAAAAGATAAATTGCAGTGTACTTTGTTTAAATCAAAGAGGATCTTTGTTTACATCCCCTACATCCACAGATCCCTACATCCCACAGACTTTTCCTGCTACTTATTTTTTTACATTGAAAGATTGGTATTATGCGTTTAAATTTAAAAAAAAAAAATTTAGAAGATATTCCCACTGCATCTGATTTAAGTACGTAGAGTGTGTTGGATAGTCATTACACCAATCAAAGGCTTTAAAACGTCTTGAAAAGAAAATGATTATGAAGCTGATTGGTGCAATTTATTTCCCGGCATTATACTTGCAGAAGTGAAATGAAAAACTAAAACATTGTCTGTTTCGTTTCGCGTGACGGTTGCTTTTTTTGTTTAGCCCCTGTTGCTTCTTAATCAGCTCTTCCTGCAAGTCACTGTTCGTAAGTATCGCTATTAAGTGATAATTATTTTTAATTAACTGCTAGATTCCTTGTTTTCAAACCTTTTATGAAATTAAATGTAACTGCCTCTGTAATAGTACCTTACATTACTTTTAAAAAATTTTTGTACCAAGGAAAAAAATTGCATCTCTATCGGTTATCTTAAATTTTACAATTTGAGAAGCGCGATATCAATTAATCGACCTTGAAATTTTATCAAGAATTCTATTTAACATCCTGGTTACTTACTGTGCAATAATTAATACAAAACTGTAACAATTTATGCTACAGTATATTATTTGATTAAAGTTTTTTGTTAATAGTGTGTTATAAAGTTTAATCTCCAAACTTTATTTCAGTATCAATCGCTACCATGAGAAACATTGTAATAATTCTGTTTGCAGTAGGATTTTATTGCTACAGGTCACCATATTTCCGAAAAGTTGATCCGGTAGAATATAGGTAAGTAATATGCTTACCAGTGCTGGAATAGCTGCGTTATTATTTACTATAAATATTTATCAAATATTTGTTTCATGTTATTTATGTTTAAAGTATCCATATTAATTCTTTACTTAATATTTTGCGATTTTAATTGTTCAATTTATATCCAATCATAATGTACAGTGCTCAAAATGAAAAGCAGACCACCAACTATTGATCTAATGATCGGATCTTTATGTTCTAGGACTAATTTTTATTGAGTTGAAGGGGAAACCTCAAATATGCTAATTAATTTGTGCAGATGATTTTTTATTCCAAAATTTTGATTTCTTTATGTTAGTTTTACTTTTTGCTATACCTGGAAAAATCTTTAAGCAAATTGAAAAGTTATTGCACTCAATTATAAAATTTATTTATTCAAAGATAATTTTAGGAAGAAAAAAAACTTTGAGTAAATATTTGTCATTTTCTATTATTTCATTTAATATTAGTTGAAAAAATTTTCAATTTATGGTATAATTTTTTTAAAATTATTTTAAGGAATATAATTTTACATGGTAATGTAGAAAATGCTAGTAAAATCAATGAAATAGTTCCTGATCTGGTTTTGTAACTTAAAATATCTTCTGCACCATTAATTAGCATATTGGAGGTCACTCCTCACTGCTAAGTCCTAGAATGTGAAAATCATTAGATTAAAAGTTATTTGGATGGTCTGCTTCTTATTTTGCACACTCTGCATGTCAGCAGTGAATGGAAATGAAAACAAAATTGTTTCCTTTCTTGATATGTATTTATAAATTTTAATCCTTATGATCAGTATACTAAAATTCATTTAACAATTTTCTTATGGACATTTTACATCATCCATTGTTTATTTTTCAAACTGTGATGTATAACATATTTTTCTCAATATTTCTATAGATTTTTTGCCATGATGTAGTGTTAGTTTCTAGTTTTCTATGGATTCCAAAGCAGTTTGTTTGCATTTTTAATAACTAGGCTATTTGTATAATATTGCATGCTTTTGTAATATTTGCAGAGTTAATGTGTGATAATATATTTTGTTAGAAAGGGCAGCAAAGTTTGAATGAATCAAAAAAATGTTGCAATAAATAAAAAAAAATTATTTTTAATAAATAAATAAAAAATTTAAGAACTGGTATAGTAGGTATAAAAACAATGGATTTTCAGAAGAAAACCATTAGTGGTAGCTATTCCATCTGAAATTAATATCATATCTCATCTGAAATTAATCTTATGTTAAATAGGTTATCTACAGTTGCATTTCTCCGTATGGTTGTAAATCTTATTTCAATCATATTTGTCCAGTCTATAACAATGTTTCAAAGTAAGAGTAAATAGTAATAACTATAACATTGTGAGGTAGATAGTATTCGTCAATATCATGTCATGTAAGTATTTAAAACAACTTATTTAATATACGTAATTGACCTAGTGACGCTATGCCAATGCCTTCTTATTTTCATTTAATATATTTATGCTGTGGATTGGTAGTCCTGCCTATATGGTTTGTATTGATTATATAAAACCATCTGGTCATTACTGGGGTCTGAATATTATGTGTAACAGTTAAAAGTTTAATAAAAATATTGATTGGTTGTTGTTTTTCTAGTGTTTAAATATACGTAACATGGGTAAGGTGACTTGAACATTTTTTTTTTTGTCAAAGGGATATTTTTTTCTGCACTCTTTTGTTTTTTATTTTGGTTATGCTGCCAAATTGAATTTAGTTTATAACCTGATAAAGTTAATAGTTATGTTATTTAATATTATTATATTTTGGTAGGTCAAATCTTAACATTTACTGGGCGACTTTTATCATTTTTTTTTAATTAGTGGGAAACTAAAAAAATTTAATACAAGCATTGAATTGAAATTTATGTGAAATTTTATGTTATAAATGTGATTTGCTTGTGTGAAATATTATTCAAAATTTCTCAAACATGAAGTGTTTGTAGTTTGCTTCACATCTTTTAAATAAANCTGAAATTAATATCATATTTCATCTGAAATCAATCTTATATTAAATAGGTTATTTACAGTTGTAATTCTTTGTATGGTTGTAAATCTTACTGCAATCATATTAGTTCGATCTATAACAATGTTTCAAAGTAAGCTTAAATAGTAATAGCTATAACATTGTGAGGTAGATAGTATTCATCAATATCATGTCGTGTAAATATTTAAAACAACTTATTTAATATACCCAATTGAGAAAACTTCATGGAAATATTTTAGATTTTGTTCTGATAATAAAATTGATTTTTTTTTTTTTTTTTTTTTTTTTTTTTTTTTTTTTTTNTTTTTAAATTTGAAAAACTTTTAAGTGTAATGTCATTTAATAGAAATACCTAAATTTAAGAAAAAAACTCCGTTAATTTTTAATATGGTTTATTTGAATCTGTAGATACTTATGTTCAATGCAAATTTTGCACTGATAAAAAAGACACAATATTGCCACAAACCTTCCCAAATATTTGTAGCTAAAAGATAGTATAGAAGTATTTTCATATATTTGTCCATCCTCTGTTAGATATTGTTGCATATAGTTAACTAGTAAAATTACTTTACACTTATTTCTTTTTATTGTGGCACATGTTCTGTATTCCTAAGTATTATTTTTTTTCTTGTTCGTTTTGTTGTGATTAGCATATTAACAAAATGTTCTTACTCAAATTTGTAATTATTATATATTATGAAAACAAATTTTCTTTTTCTTAAAATTATCGACATTTCGAAATAATAAAAGGCGGAGATGATTGAAAGAGGCAAGCAAGGTTGGTGAGCAAAGCCTCCTAGTAAATTAAAATGATACCAAAAAACTTTTGTAACATAAAGTGTTACTAAATAATCATTACAACTAAAAAAAATTATATCCTTGAACTAAACTAAAATACTCTAAACAATATAATCTGAAAAAATAATAATGCTTAAATTTTCTTTCGTTGAAGGATCATTTTATTGTTCTTGAATTTTATGTCATTGAGTTGGAATAACAGCTTTAAAAAAATTCGTAACTGGTTAAGATAGTCGTCACAAAATTAAGGATAATCATAATAGGATAAAAAAGGATAAGATTATTCCGTAACTTATATAAACTATCGAAATTTAGATTTTTTTTTTTTTAGACTTGTGGGAATTTTGGAGTACAAAATTTTTTTAAGATTACTATTTTTATAAAGTTGAGGAAAATTATTGGGGGGNGGGGGGGGGGGGTGACCGCTACGCCAATGCCTTCTAATTTTCATTTAATATATTTATGCTGTGGATTGGTAGTGGTTTGTATTGATTATATAAAACCATCTGGTCATTACTGGGGTCTGGATATTATGTGCAACACTTAAAAGTTTAATAAAAATATTGATTGTAGTTTTTCTAGTGTTTAAATATATGTAAAATGGGTAAGGTGACTTGAAAAAAAATAATTTTTTTCTTTTATTTGTCAAAAGGATATTTTTTTCTGCACTCTTTTGTTTTTTATTTTCGTTATGCTGACGAATTGAATTTAGTATATAACCTGATAAAGTTAATAGTTATGTTATTTAATATTATTATATTTTGGTAGGTCAAATCTTAACATTTACTGGGTGACTTTTATCCTTTTTTTTTAATCAGTGGGAAATTAAAAAAAGTTAATACAAACATTTAATTTAAATTTATGTGAAATTTTATTTTATGAATGTAATTTGCTTGTGTGAAATATTATTCAAAATTTCTCAAACATGAGGTGTTTGTAGTTTGCTTCATGGCTTTTAAATAAATAAATGTAATATTGAGATTTGTTTATAAATTGTAGTTTGAATTTACCTGCAAAATTAGATGGTCATCTTTCTCCTAACGAACTCTTAGACGCAACTGAACGTCTCCACGAAAATGCTCTTCATTGGCCTGAAAGTTTTGCTGTTCTGAATAGTAAGTATTGAAGATAGATCGTGATAACAATTATCTTCTACTTATTCTTTTTTGGGTATTTTTATTTTAATAAATTTTGTATCTTCAGATAAAATTTATACTGGACTTGGTGATGGCAGGATTGTGGAAGTGAGTGGCAAGAAAATTACGGATGTCACTCGAATTGGAAGCGATTGTGGTGAGCTAAAATTCTATTTGTTTTTTTGTTTTTTTTTCTATGTGTAAAAATTTTTTTTTGGCAATTTAACCTTTGTAATGATCTTCAACATCCTGAAAATACTCTTATATTTATCTACAGGAATTGTCTTAAGATATTTGTATTCAAATATCGCATATTGAGTTGCATTTTTTAGGTCTGTAAGTTTTTAAAAAGGAAGAATGTTTAATACTACAGTGCAACAAATGACAACATTCCTTTACATCGTGTCAAAAGCTAACTGCACACTCTTCTTTCTCTCTCCCATCTTTGGATACAGGAACAAAACTCTTTTCTTATCCTCTACCCAGTTTGAGAATAATCTTCTGACCACTACTCGTTAACCTGGTTCCTAGCTTAATTCCTTAAATTCACTTATCTCTACAAGTTCCTATTATTTGCAATCACCTCTTAACAACTGAGAAGGGAAGCAATCCAAGAATTTAACTCATTTTACAATTACTCTCTTCATACTCTCCAGGGGTCTGTTAAGAAGAAATTTGGATCCGCTAACAGACCCTTCACAAAATATTTTAACTTAAAAACAAACCATTCACAAAATGAGTTTTCTTTTAATCGGACCCTTCACAAATTTGTTTATCTTCATTATTGTTTTGTTAATCGAATAAACCCTTCCCAGGGCAGAAAACAAAAAAGATGGATGTAAACGAATTAAGTTTTGTCTTCGACAGACGATTCTTCCATTATTCGTCCGAAATGAATATTCTGCTTTCAGCAGTATAGGCTAAATACCAAACATTTGTATGTTGCATCTCTAATTTAGAAGCAGCAATTCCTGTTTATTTTTGAAAATTTAATTTTTTTTATTATAATTTTCAGTGCCGAACATAATCTTGTATCTATTTACAATTTAAAAACTCCTTGAAAAAGTGTTTTGGACCCTATTGCTTGAATAACCGGACCCTATTTACACAAATTCATAAAAGCGGACCCTGGTGTGAAGAAAGTGAGTAATTTTTTAACAATTTCACGAAAAACGAACCTTTCACCAAATGTCTGGACAGACCCATGCTCTTACATATTGATTAAAAGATTTTAAGGATAAAATTATCAAACAAAGGAACAATTCTGAAGAAGAAAATAGCAAAGAATATCCTTAAATTTTGCTATGATCTGCCATTTTATATTGAAAGTAAAATCAGATGTGAATTTCTTGAAAAAAAATTTATCTACAGAATATCTAAGACACTTTACTGGTTGCTTTACAAACATTAGTGAACTATCAAATTGTAATCAATGATTTTATATTTTACTTTCTCCATATATGTAAAATTAAAATCAATTTGTTGCTGATTAAGTATTGTTCTTTTTAATTTTTGATTAGTTATCTATTTAATTATTTACAGGGATGAGATTTTTCCGCTTTTTAGCGGGTTTCCGCTTTTTTCACTTTTATCTCTTGAATTTCAGTTTTTTTTATCAAAAATTCAGATTTTTCTAAAAATTTCAGTTTTTTTTATAAGCATTCCGCTTTTTCAGAAAATTTACTGATTTTCAAAGAGAAAGAGAAAATTCAAACTACATAGCTAGCAATCCTTTCTCATTTTTACTTATTATAGCTATTTTCTCCCCTTTTACTTGCAGCAGATAAGATTTTCCGAATTTTTTACCCGCCCTCCAGATAGATCTGATTTTTGTAGTTCAAACGACACTGCTTCTGACAAGCCTTTTAGAGGTCCCAAGCCTGGAATCTACTAATATCTCGATTCTTATTCACACGATTTTAATATCAAACATAGCTTTTCATATTTGCGTGTTGCGTCGCCGTAAAACTCTTTAAC